TATTCGCTTCAGCTTCTCTGGGGGAGAGGAGGGAGGAGATGGACAGGGACCCACGCAGAACCCCTGATTCCCTCTGTGCCCTGTTGCAGAGCCCTGCCCTTCCCTCGCCTCGACGTACTCAGCCCGGTGAAATCGCTGGCCCGGATGGTGCCGATGCGGTTGAAGCGGGCGTACAGGTAGGTGGTCTCCGGCGGCAGCGGTGGGATGTGCTCCAGGTCGGCGTCGTCGCAGTAGACGGAGGTGCCGATGCACAGGCAGCGCAGGCAGCTGGGGAGGGCTGGGGGGCAGAGGCACGGCATGGGACGGCATGGCATGACATGGGATGGGATGGGACAGCATGGCATGGTGTGGGATGCGATGGCACGGCATGGGATGGAATGGCACCGGATGGCATGGCACAGCTCCTGCACTCCCCCCGAAGCAATGCAGGGAGATGGGAGGACGTCCCCAGCCATGGGTACACAAAGTCTTAGCACCCAGCTGTCACAGCCCCACCACCTCCATCAGCGTAACAGCCCAGGGCACCTTATAAAGAGAAGGGCCAGAAACCCCCAGCCAAAAGAGCTGCTAATAAATGGAGCTGCTCAGGGCCAGATACCTCCCACGGGAGAGGGGGAGATGCAGGGAGATGCCAAACACAGCAGCGTTACACCCAGGACTTGCTTGGCCCCCTTATTTTTTTTTACACAGAAGGAAATGGAACAAAAGAAAATAGTTTTGCGTTGAGCAAAACATCTGTCCCAGCTGTGTGAGGGTCCCAGCAAGCCGGGCAGGGGAGGCAGGAGGGGTAAAGCTGTATCCTGCCCCATACATGCTCTCTCTCCTCTCCCCCAGCGCCCGCAAGGCTCCGCATCCATTAGTGGGGGAGTTCAAAGCAGCAAGGCAACAATTTCCCTTTGCCTCCTACTTAATTTGTCCCAGTCCAGAGTGACAGAAAATGAATAAAGATATTTATCCCTCGCTACAGGATTTTAATTGTCACTAATCTAATTGCTACTCTGTCCTACTGTCGCAATGCCTCTGCTCATTAAAATGTTGCTGCTTTGCTGGAGCTCTTGTTTCCCAGAAATGTCTCGCTGCAGCCCGCCTGCCTGCTGTGTGCTGAGACGCACCCCCAGCGCCCCGGGCAGAGCAAACAACTGCTGCTGGCTGCTGGTGGCCAAAGGATTTGCTCCCTTTACTCCAGAGCACCAACCCTGCCACCCCTGGGACACGTGGCTGCATCCCACGGGAACCAAATCCTGCTGGCTGCACCTTCGGGGTGCACCTGGGGGTCCGCACTCACCCTGCGCGGGGATGGGTGCTGGGTGGATGGGGCTGGCGGCGGTCAGAGGCTGCAGCTGTGGGGTTTCAGTCGTGGTACCCTGGTCTGGGAGAGCCACGGGGTCCTTGGGGCGAGGAGCCAGGGTGCCAACCTCGATCTGCAAACACAGCCTGGGCATGAGGGCTGGGGCAGCAGTCCTCCCGCTTCTCTCCGGGGCAGGAGGCACTGGTCCAGGGGTCAAGGGCGCCGGGTCAGTCTTATTGGAAAGCCAGCTCCTCCTTGAAGAGTTCCCAGGGTTTCAGGAGTCCCCCTCCCCATTTGCTCAGAGGGATGCAGAAGCCTTACGACCCAGCTCCCTGCAGCGATGCTCTGGCCAGGCACTGGCGGGGGACAGGGAAGCTGGTGGATGCTGGGGTCAGGTAAAGCCTTTCTGCCACCAGCGAGAGCGGTGGAAGAGCCATCAAGGCTCGTAGGCTTGTGCAAGAGGCTGGTTCTCCAGCAGTGCCCATCCGTCCCTTGGACCAAGCCCCCATCTCGAGATGCACCCAGGGAAGCCCTGCCCTGCACACCGGGTGCTCTCCTGTGTCCCCCTCACCTTTGGAACAAGGTCCCCATAGTCGTACAGCTCCTCATAGTTGCTCAGGTCAAGGATCTCACCGTAGTTCTCCAGTGTCAGGTCGTAGTTATCCAGGTCCAGGTTTTCGTAGAGTGCAAGGTCAGCTTTTGCCTTCTCTGCCTTCCTCCTCTCCTTGGCTGGCACAGCCCACGCTGCCCCCAGACACAGGCTG